GTATATATATTGATATACATGACTATTTTATCACTTCAGTTTGAACACTGTCGTCTAAAGGTTGTTTTTACACTTGAACTGATGTTAAATATACGGTAGGATATAAAATGATGATTCATATAGGGTTTTAATAATTAGACTCCAAAATCTTACGTATATTTCTTTTTCGATGGCTTTCAGATTCAGATTTCAGATTTATTGGTTGAGGATAGAAGGCTTGGAGCCTATGTTAATCCTTTTCCAGTAAATTTCTGTGATTTTCCAAACCCTTCTTGAACTAATCGGTTGAGGTTGCAGACACCACTTCTTCTGGGAGTCGGTTCCAAGAGTTTACGACTCGGTGTGAGAACCAGTACTCAACAGCAATATGATTTCTTCTTGGCTTTTGAATTCTTCTGCTATGTCCTCTAAGGCGTTCCGACTTTTTGATTGTTTTTTGCTACTAAAGTCTCGTTTTTGACAAGCTCTATTATCATCAGAGGTAACACTGACTTAACTGACTATTGTAATGACTTGAATGAAGGAATTCGCCAACAAAAAGTCATGCATTTTATTCTACTCCAAAATGTTTATCTGATACTCTTCGGTTAATCAGTATTGAATTATGTTGATAAGTACGCTAATTAGTAGTAATGGCGTTGGCTTTTATTCATTCCTCACCATTCTCTTGTATTATTTCATTTATGATTAATTATTATTATATATTATTGTTTCCTTTAATTCGTAGAGAAACATAGGGCTTCAGCCATGCGTCTCCATTGCGTTCGGTTCTCTGCTAGAGTCTTCACCTGGCTCCAAGTCTGCCCACACGTTTTCATCTCCTCTTCACATGACCTCCTCCAAGTCACCCCACCCCGCACTGACGACCAACTTGCCGCTTCCCTTTCCGGTTTCACTCGAGCAATGGCTTGTCTAGTGATGTCACTAGATGGATGGTTTCCTCAGAGTATGGCCAGCCAATCCGTCTCCATTTCTTCCTGCCTATTTGTTTTACAATCGGTTCCTGCTGTGTTGGTTCGCTCATTGCCAGAGATCCCTCTCTGTTGCTGATCTTTTCTGGCCGGCCATCTGATCCTGAGTGAAGTATTGAGCGAAGACAACTGTTAATGAAGGTGTGTAGTTTGTTTGAGATGCTCTTTATGACGCGCAGTGCAAGTCTCTGATCCGTATAGTATCACTGACTGACTTCACATTGGAGTTGAAAATCCGGATCTTATTTTTGATGGTGAGTGCTGTTGACCTCCACACAGACTTGAGAGTAGTGAAAGCTTGTCTTGCTTTCCCGATTCTTGCTTTGATATCCCCGTCAGTTCCGTCCGCCTGTATTTGAAACGATGCTTCCCAGGCAGGTAAAAGAGGTCGTTTCTTTCAGGTTCCTCCCATTTATGCTGATCGTTGTCTGTTGTTGTTGTTCTCGTCCAGGAATCTTCATCACCTACCTCTGCTTTCTCCATGTTCACCTGAAGTCCTATCTTTGATGCTTCTTCTGTCAACTTGTTGCTTTTCGCTTGCATATCTTCCAGTTTGTGGGTAATCAGACATATATCATCGACGAAGTCCAGATCCTCCAAGTATTTTGTATGGGTCCATTTTATGCTTGTTTCCTCATTGCCCGCCACTGTCTGTCACATTATCCAATCTACTGCAATCAGGAAAATCATTGGCGATAGTAGGCAGTCTTGTCTTACTCCTGTTCTCACTTCGAAGGATTCCGTAAGTTTCCTGTTGTTGATTACTTGACATGCAGCATTGTCGTACAGCTGTTGGATGAGATGTATAATTATCGGTGGCACGCCGTAGTAGCGAAGTAGTTGCCGAAGTACCTCTCGATCGACGCTGTCGAATGCCTTTTCAAAGTCGATGAAGTTGAGATATCTATTGTACTGCATCTGTTTTTATCCAAAAGCTTACTCATTTCAGCTTCAATTTTCACGAGGAATATAGTGAACTTATATTAATAATTTGTGCAATGTAAGAAAATTCCAACGTTCCCTTGATGAAATCCAAAGAAAAAACAGAAAAGGTGTGTCTCGGTAGACAGTTCCACCATTGAACAGACTTCTAGACAAAGCTGATTTAGCTGTAGTTTCTATGGGACCGTGACTTATTGGATTATGTGCTTGACGTTCGACCACTGGGTTATGGGTTTGAACCCTTGTCCACCTACTAGTTATTTAGACAGTCTTTGACTATACGTCGTCGCGTCCCATCTTGCGTTAGGTGGCATATAATGCAGATAATTACAATGAGGCTAATCATAAAGTCACTCGTTGAAGTTATGAGGCTGTATGAATAAGGATGGATATAAGATGTTTTTTATGTAAGTCAAACCATCGCCTTCCTCGTAGAACCATGTTAGCTGACAATGTGTTCTGTTGGAAAAGAGTTAGGCCAAGAGTCGGACCAAAATATGCCTTTAATCCATGGTGTCGTTGACCATCGACTAGAGCTACGTACAGAAGTGTAAACTGTTCAGAGTCCTTAAGACGCTAGTGATTATCAATGGTGTGGCTCAGCATGGTTCTCATCGGTATGGATCCATTCTTTCTCTGATAAATTTCCGTTTATTATACTTTCTTTGCATTTATTCGGTTGCATGTATTTATGAAATGTGCAACGGTGTTTTGCAAATTTTTAGACTGAAAATTCATTCAGCTAGTCAACCATAGTTTTTTAATTTTAAATTAATTTCCTCGCGAGTGATCAGTTGTAAGGGTGGGAGGGGGTGTGTGGCGGAGAAGTAAATAAAATCAGTTTCCATCTACTTGACTGAAGTTTTCATAACTGCAAGATCTCATGGTTATAACGACCCTATGCGATTTGTCTCACATTCGTCTTCCATGTCACAATACATTTTCTCCATATGTTTAACTTCATCATATATGTCCCAATGGAATTGAGCCTAACTGAATTCAGCGACTTAAGGTGAAGACACTGATAAAATAGATTAGAGGCTTCTAAACACCTTGAGCTGCAATCTTCTAATTTTGGCATCCAATTTGCTCCATATTATATGTAATATATATATGTAATAATATGTAGAATTCGGTGATTGGTAATTAGTGGTGCTTAAAGCTTAAGTGTGTACTGCTCAACAGTCCGCTCCGTCCTCCTTTATGGCTGTGAGACCTGGCCATTGAGAACAGAAGACATGAAAAGATTAGCTGTCTTCGATCATAGGTGTCTGCGTTCTATCTCCCGTGTGAAGTGGTATAATAAGGTGAGCAATACTGAGGTTAGCCATCGGTCGAGTGCTAGGTAAGGCGAGAGGGTAAATCAATCGACGAGGCTGTGAAGTTACATCGATTGAAATGGTTAGGACATGTGTGACGCATGCATGCCTAGCCATTGATCACCTTCGTCGACGGGAAATGTTAACTGATATAGGGCCAGGTTGGAAAAGAGCTAGCGGCGGTCAAACGAAAACATGGCACCAGTCAATGAAATCTACAACAGTTAGTCTCAGCCAGTCACGTAGGAAGGTGTAGACTTCCAGACTGGTTGGGGTCCTCGGGACGGTAAAAACCAATGGTTGGAAACAATTGGTGATATGGCTCAAAATCGTTCTCAGTGGCGCAGATGCATCCACTCCTGGTGACTTATGATTTCCAATTAAACTGTTTTGTTCTTCGTTATTACTATTCCTTTGTCTCACACCTCTGTTTACTGTCTATATTGTGCATTTCTTCTGCTTTCTTCTGTTGCTTTGTGTGCTACAAGGAGGGAGTGTGGCGACTTGAACTGGCGCACATATGTGCAAAGTTCTATGTCGAAAACCGACCGACCGACCAAAGTTTAACTTTACCCATGTCCTGGCCATCTCAATCGATATAGCATTACACTGTGATCGACTGACTTCCTTTTCTTACCACTTACGCCTAACTTTTGAAAAATATATTTTTTTATTCCTTTCCTTTCTCAGTGGAACATAGAGGGCTTCGGGCTAGAGGCTTAAAGTTTCGGTAGCAGGTAGTGTGTATTGCTTTTACGGGATGGGGTTGTGCTAGTCAGCCTCATGCCCAACCAGTTGTCTTATTACTGGCTTAACGAGGATTTTGGAGTTGGTCTGCCACCGGAGATCGAACCCCGGACAACATGAGGCGTGGTTGGTGAGCATCACTATCCCACTGTGCTGGCTGGCTGGCTGGGTTCAACGTAGAACTTGGCACCGAAGTGCAGGAGTTCGAGTTGCCACGTTCCAAAGAGCACACAAAGGTAGACAAGAAAATGAGTGAAGAGAATCAATAGAGTTTTAACAGGTATAAGAGTGAAACAGAATGAGTAATGGTAGAAAGGAATATGAAAGATTACAGAGACTGAATACATCTGCATAAGCCATTGACAACGATTTTGAGCCATGTCACCTATTGTCTCCAGCCATTGATTCTTAGAGTCCCGAGGGCGGGCCCCAACCCGGAAGTCTGCATCTCCCTAACTACCTGACTCAGTTTAACTGTCAAGGATTTCATGGATTGATTGATGCCATGTTTTTGTTTGGCCACCACTTACTCTTTTCCAACCAACCTGCACCTATATCAGCTAGTAATGCCCGTCAGTCGGGGGAGGCGATGGTTAGGCATGCGCAGCACGTGACCTAGCCATCTCAATCTGTGTAACTTTATAGCCTCTTCGACTGATATTCCCTCTTTGCCCAACACTCTACGCCTAACGTCAACATTACTTACCCTATTATGCCACCTAACGCGAGAAAGAGATCGTAAACATCTGTGGTCAAAAATAGACAATCTCTTCATGTCTTCCGCTCTCAATGGCCACGTCTCACCGCCATAGAGAAGGAGGGAGCGAACTGCTGAGCAGTACACACGTCCCTTGGTTGATAGCCGGATGTCACGCCTACGCCACTGTGCCACCGACACACCTACGCCTAACATTCATATTAAAATATGCGATATAAATGCGTATTATTTCTTCTCTTATTTTATTCATCATAATAACACATTCAAAATCTACACCATAACCTTCCCTTAATTAATTTTTTTAGATATATATATATATATATTCGTCATTACACATTATATTATTACAAATTGTTTGGGGACAATCGCACAGTTAGGTGGGATGGATGCAGAGATTGAATTGGAAGAAGAGTTTACTTCTGCTGCCGCTGCTGGTGTCCCACAAAGTAAGTAGACAGACAAAAAAAAAACACTTTTCTAAAATTCTAGTCACCTCAGTTGCAAATTTCAACTATGCTTTGGTAGCTCTTCTCTTCTTTGTCATATCCTATTTCCTATGGAAATTTTTCCATTCTCAAAGTACACATTCTACGGCACATCAGTCATCAGCACAGAATGATGCTCATCGTAAAGCTATGGAAAATGCAAGAGCTAAACTCCAAGAAGAACTCAATGCTCAAATTGCTCAATACAAATCTAAGAAACAAGAAGAAGATGAAATTAAAGCAAGAGAAAAAGCAGAAAAATTAGCGAAATACATGACGAGTAATGGAACTTCACAAAAATCTGTAAGTTGAGCCCTACTTATATTTTATTATTGTTCCCTTGGGGTTCAGAAGCTTCTCAACTCATGATGAGTTCTCTTCCTGTATTATCTGCTTCCAGTTCGGTTGATATTCATATTGCCCATGAGGATTTTGATGTCACCATTCACAATTTTGTCCATTACTGTTTGTAGTTGTCTGTAAATCTCTTCCTTCTTCTCTTGTTCCGCGTTGTTTGTAGCTTTGTGCGTAGCATTGGATAATTGTAACCTGCTTTCCTTCCTTTCCAGTTAAATCTTGCTGTTATGATCCTGCAGCAGAAGGTTGGTTCCCACTGCATTAAGGCTCTGGCAACCACTGGTGACATCATGATAACCACTCACTGCCTCAGTGTGCTCGTGGTTGTCGTCTGGGTGACCAGACCAGAGTAGATTACTGACTCTCCAGTTGACAATTTTTACAGTCCACATGCATTCTATTTGCTCTAGCAGAGATACCCAGCACTTGTATGCCGTATCTTCACATTTCTTTGTCCATCTGTGCAGCCTTCCCAGCCGGCTTCGTACATTGTACGTGCATTCCACGTCCCCATTCTTATTCTTGCTTTCATCGAAAGAAGACACACCGACTGACCGACTGGCTTCCTGAAGGATTTCGTCATCCTTCTGTGTTGTTTCGCCTCTCCAATTCCAGCGAAGAATAAGATTGTGTTTTTATATTTTTGGTATTTTTTTATATATTTCTTGCACACTGAAGTTTCTGTAGCAGTTTGATTGGTTTTGTGGTGTGGGGTTGTTAGCCCCACTGGGACTGGCCAGAAAAACTTGCAAGTTAAAGTGGTCTTTATTTCTTTTGATAGCAATTACTTCTCTTTATGAATTTTGACAACACAATAAGAAGACTATTGAATTCAACTTTAAGTATTAGTTTTGTAAGGATTTTGTTTGATTGCATGGAGGATTTTATTATGAGCTGACATCAGTTAGAGAACCACTGGAAAACCCGGGAGTACTGGACAGCCAGCTGTTTCGTCAACCCTAGTTTGGGACTCCTCGGCAGTACGCACCCACCGGGATTCGAACCCAGGACCTTCTGGTTACAAGGCGAGCTCATAGACCATTGAGCCACTGGGACCCGATCCAATGGTCCTTGAATTTTAACTTCTGCCAATTCACGACATAGCGCGACCATTTCGCGATGTCTTCCTCTATGAGTTACTGCCTCACCTTCAACCTGATGTACCCTACTGATCACAGCTTCCCACTAGAACCACAGGTCAACTGCCTGAATAGGGCCAGTCACTACTAAGCATCAGATTGATTTCTAAATATTGGTTTTGTAGGGATTTTGTTTGATTGCATGGAGGATTTCATCACGAGCTGACATCAGTTACAGAACCACTGGAAAACCTGGGAGTACTGGACAGTTGTTTCGTCCTAGTTTGGGACTCTTCAGCTTCACGCACCCACCGTTGGATCGGGTCCCAGTGGCTCAATGGTCTACGAGCGCGCCTTGTGACGAGAAGGTCCCCGGATTGAATCCCGGTGGGTGCGTACTGATGAAGAGTCCCAAACTAGGATGAAACAGCTGTCCAGTACTGCCAGGTTTTCCAATGGTTCTCTAACTGATGTCAGCTCATGATGAAATCCTCTGTGCAATTCAATTTTAGATTTTCGCAACGATTGAATTAAATAATTAGAATGACCTGTTGCACAAGAGATGGCCAGCTGTCGTGACACAAGTGGTCTAGTGGATAACGCTTTACCCTGATAAATTAGTCAGGAAATATGTAGGGAAATGTAAAAATAAAAAAAATAAATAATGATAGTAGTAATAGTGATAATAATAATATTAATGGTGACATGCATGTCAAATATGCGCAAGATAATGACAATACCAACAATAAGGAATCTAAATCAACAGTAGTAATTCCATACAAGGAAGGAACCTTGGAAACCCTACGGGGAATTCTTAACAATGCAGACAGGAATAAAAGTGGCTGGCATTCAAACCAACCACAATCTCAATTAGAAACAAGCTTTGTCGGTTAAAGGATCAATCCTGTGGAGCCTTTGGAAACAAAACAATTTAGTTTATATATGATAGAGAAGATTTGTAGCTCAGGTGGATAATTTTGAAGTTGTTGTGTTCTCTGAGCTGGAGAGTTAATTTGCGAAGCTTTCATCACCCTACTGGGTGACATCTTCAGCGCATACTTCAATTTGAAGTGAGCTTTTAGATTTCTCCACGAGTTTATTAATCATCTTTCCTGGCGACCTTGGACGTGATTGGTTGTTTTTGTCTGTTTTCACATCTTCTAGGTTACTTGTATTGTTATTCATTGTTTCTTTGGCTTGAACTTTGACCCTTTGTGTGTGATGTTTCTTTCTTATCGGTTGATAAATTTTGTCTATCTCGATGTGTCTATTGATTGATGATTCACTGGAATGCCAAGCTTCTAAAAATTCTCTGGCATTCTTGTTGTTTCCTCTGTCTAATATTTGAACGTTGTCCCAGTCGAACTGATGTCCGTGGTTGTCTGTATGTAGTGATATGAGAGAGTGGATATCATGTCTTTTGACGGCTAGCTTATGTTCGTGGATACGAAGACGAGGGGGACGTCCACTTTGGCCAATGTAGTGTTTTTCGCAGTTGATGCAATCTATTTTGTAGATGATGTTGGTTTTATCTTCCTTCGCTGTTGAGTCTTTTGGTTGACATAGAATTGAGTTTGTTGGTTTGTGTGAGACGTCAATTCCTAAAGGTTTGAAGAATCTTGTAGTGATTTCTGAGATGTCTTTTATGTATGGTAAGGCGATTTTCTTTGTGCTTTCCTTGGGGGCTTTTGGTTTGATAGGTTGGCTTGGAGGTATATGTCTTTTGATGAAATTCCTTGGATATCCATTCTTTTGGAAGACGTCCATGAGATATTTTTCTTCAATTTTCCTTGAGGTGGGAGTGCTGCAATGAGTCCTGGCTCTCTTGAATAGTGTTTGTATGCAATTCCTCTTGTGTGCTATTGGATTGTTGCTGTTGTAATTCAGGATTTGGTCTGTGTGAGTTGATTTTCTATAGACTTGAGTTTCTAATTCCCCTGTGGTTGTTCGCTTGACTAAGACGTCCAAAAATGGGATTTGGTTCTCTGATTCCTCTTCTCTTGTGAATTTGATGTCGTTGAAGACGTTGTTTATCAGGTTGTGAGCTTTATCTAACTCGTTTCTTTTGATAATTACAAATGTGTCGTCTACGTAGCGTATCCAAATCTTGGGTTTGATCTTTGGTAGAATTATGTTCTCGAGCCTTTGCATCACTGCTTCTGCAATCAAACCTGATATTGGCGATCCCATGGGATCGGTCATTGACGTCGTACACAAACCAACAAAGTCACTTCACTCAATTCTATGTCAACCAAAAGACTCAACAGCGAAGGAAGATAAAACCAACATCATCTACAAAATAGATTGCATCAACTGCGAAAAACACTACATTGGCCAAAGTGGACGTCCCCCTCGTCTTCGTATCCACGAACATAAGCTAGCCGTCAAAAGACATGATATCCACTCTCTCATATCACTACATACAGACAACCACGGACATCAGTTCGACTGGGACAACGTTCAAATATTAGACAGAGGAAACAACAAGAATGCCAGAGAATTTTTAGAAGCTTGGCATTCCAGTGAATCATCAACCGATAAGAAAGAAACATCACACACAAAGGGTCAAAGTTCAAGCCAAAGAAACAATGAATAACAATACAAGTAACCTAGAAGATGTGAAAACAGACAAAAACAACCAATCACGTCCAAGGTCGCCAGGAAAGATGATTAATAAACTCGTGGAGAAATCTAAAAGCTCACTTCAAATTGAAGTATGCGCTGAAGATGTCACCCAGTAGGGTGATGAAAGCTTCGCAAATTAACTCTCCAGCTCAGAGAACACAACAACATCACTTTAGTTTATCTAATACGCTGTCTGAAATGATTGTCAGGTCAAATACATAGGTCAAACTAGTAGAACAGGTGCAGTCAGACTAGCTGAACATAATAACCTAGCAGCAAAATCGAGATTAGTTGACCCGAATAGGATAAGAAATCTAGAGAATAGTTTAGCCATAGATAGCACTCACTACGTGCAGTTACACGTAATCATACAATAGGATGGGATAGGATGACAGTTTTAAAATCTAATAAACACGAAATAAAGAAGGGATTGAGAGTATTATGAAGTAAATTGGAACTTGGATTACCAGGGCAGGTTTAAAGTGATAAAAAACATCTCCTGACACATAAGACAGACAGGTTTAAGTCTTTTTTGGGCCAAGGCTTCTTCAACGAATTTGGGTATGTGACCCAACCTTATTTTATATATGGGTTTAAAGGCATTACTGGAATCAAGCTTATGACCCGTCTCTATAATGTACCTTGCGATAGATGATGTTGAACATCTATTTCCGGGATCACTTGTATCCGCCGACTTTATTTATTATTGCAGCCACTTTGGAATATGCTCTGTTCTGTAGCTCTAACCTGCAAAGATCAATGGATCCTTCCTATGTACGTGTGTCCACACATACATGTAAATTCGTCAACACAGTGGGATATGACACTATCGTTCAGATGCTTTAAGGGTTTACAGGACAGCATAGATCACATTTTCTCCATGAAAATTAAGTTTATCTGGATAGTAAGTTCTATGAATTGTCACACTGAGTCTTTGCTTAATGATCAGACTCTTTTGATCACCTCTGAACGGCGAAGAGTTTTATCGATCCAATCAGCTCCCAAAAAGGATGGTTGTCTCGTCACTAAACAAAGACTCAAGGTGGCAATTATTAGAACTTACTATCCAGCTAAGCTTAATATTTGTACAGAAAGCGAAATTTATGCTGTCCCGTAATTCATGAGCCAGTCACTGGATCACGTCACAGTGGTACATGAGCTTGACTTGCAACCGGAAGGTCCTGGATACGAACCCCAATGACTGCGTACTGCTGATGATTCCCAAACTAGTGGGATGAAGCA